CCAGTTACCCCAACACTGAGCCCAATCACTTGTGTTTGGCTAAAGCACCTTCCACAAAGCTGTCTAGTCTGGATTGGAGCCAACCAGAGATGGTGAAGAGCATAGGCTCCAACTTTTCCCGGGACCAGTGGGTGCTCGCACCCCCCGCCTCCAGGCCTGGCCCGTCCCTGCCCCGCCCATATTCCAACCCCTTCCCCAAAGTCCCCACCCCAACTCCGCCCCCTCCCTACCCCTATTGGGCTCCTTCCCCAAATCCCCGCCCGCCTCTTCCCCGAGCGCGCCGTATTCACCCTCCTCCCCCCTCCCTCCCAGCACTTGCCACCCCAAAACAGCTGGAGCTAGGGGGAGAAGCGGCACGCTCAGGGGAGGAGGCGGAGGTGAGCTGGGGCGGGGTGGGGAGCTGCCAGTGGGTGCAGAGCACCCACCAATTTTTCCCCATGGGTGCTCCATCCTCGGAGCACTCACGGAGTCGGCACCTATGGTGAAGATGGAATTTGTTCCCCTTGCTCATTTGTTCCAATGATGCCTCATCCCCTCCATTAAAAACTGGGGCCTTATTTCTAAGTTCAATTTGTCTGGCTTCAACTTCCAACCCTTGGTTCTTTCTCTGCCATTCTCTGCTAGATTGAACAGACATTGAGTGCCTGGTGTTTTCTCCCCATGAAGGTCCATGTACACTCTCATCAAGTCACCTCTCAGTCTGCTGCTAGATACATTAACAGATCAAGCTCTTTAATTCTCTCACTCAGGCAATTTCTTCAGCCCTTAAATCATTGTTGTGGCTCTTTTCTGCTCCTTTCCAGAAGGTGGACCCCAGAACTGCAGTCAGCATTCACAGTCAACTGTATCGATCCCACCAACGCCATGAAGAACCTCTACTGCAACTAGTGCCCATTATACAGTATAGCCACCCCTTCCCTGACATCACCTTCTGCTGCCCCCCCAGTGCCACCCCGTCCCTGCCCCCAACCTCTTCTGACCCTAGTTCCCATTATACCAGTGGTTCTCAAACTTTTTTTTCGTGGACTACTTCAAAATTGCTGAGGGTCCTGGCGGATCACTTAATGATCTTTCCAAATGTTGTTTGTACAATTAGCTAACTATTATAAAGTGCTTTGGATAAAAGCGCTATATCAAAAATACTTAATAATAATAAACTTTTTTTGTACTACAAATAAAAGCACACAACTTATATTTTAATATCAGTAGTCTTACCTTTCTAATGCGATGGATGTGCCCTCTCTCCCGTGCCATAGCAGCCCCCGAGCTGGGGCTGGGAAGGAGCGGGGGTCTCTCCCTCTCTCCCCCACCACAGCAGCCCCCGAGCTGGGCTTGGGAAGGAGGGGGGGTCTCTCTCCCACCAGAGCAGCTATAGAGCTGAGGCTGGGAAGGAACGCCATCTCTCCCTGGCAGCCGCAGCCCTGGAGCTGGGGAAAGTCACCTCTTTTTCTGGCCGCCACAGCCCTGCACGTCTCAAATTCCCCCCACCCCCTCTTCTCACCCCCTGCCCCCTCCCACCTAATCCCTATTCACCCCAAGGCCACCCCCTCACCTTACATGTGCGTCTTCTTTAGGGTCCAGGCACCTAATTAGTGGAGCCGCGCTGACCCTTCATTGTCTCGTGTGCAGCCGACCAGGCGTGCACCTTAGAGGGAAATATCCACAGACCACCTGAATGGAGCTTGCGGACGACTGATGGTCCATTGAAGGAAGTTTGAGAACCTCTGCATTGTACACTATAGCCGCTCCTTCCTCACAGCTCACCCTCTGCTGCCCCTAGTGCCCACTATACAGTATAGCCGCCCCTTCCCCACCCCCACCCTCTGCTGCCCCTAGTGCCCATTATACAGTATAGCTGCCCCTTCCCCACCCCCACCCCCACCCCCACCCCCTGCTGCCCCTCGTGCCTATTATATAGTGTGGAGCAGTGGATCTCAAACTAGGGCCGCGCTTGTTCAGGGAAAGCCCCTGATGGGACGGGACAGTTTGTTTACCTGCCGCGTCAGCAGGTTCGGCCGATCGCGGCTCCCACTGGCCACGGTTTGCCGCTCCAGGAAGCAGCGCGGGCCAAGGGATGTGCCGGCTGCCACTTCCCTCTACCCCCATTGGCCTGGAACAGTGAACCGCAGCCAGTGGGAGCCGCGATCGGCATAACCTGCAGAGGCGGCTGGTAAACAAACCGGCCTGGCCCGCCAGGGGCTTTCCCTGAACAAGTGGCGGCCCTAGTTTGAGAACCACTGGTGTAGAGCAGGGATCTCAAACTCAAATCACCATGAGGGCCACATGAGGACTAGTGCATTGGCCCGAGAGACACATCACTGAAACCTTTTCATACAACGGTGCAAAAGTATAGTCAAAAATGAAAAAAATGAAGAGTAATACAGTATGATATTAAAAGTCAATGTATTAACTTTTTTAAAACTGTAATGCGAAAAGTCAGTGCTAATTTTGACAGTCATTTCATTTTTGGCCACTTAGCTGGCAGCGGTGAGCCTGGATCTTAACACAGATTTGTTAATCTTCATGGAAGAGAAAAACTGTTCACATATATATGTACTTCCAAACATTGCCATTACCCTTGCAGAAGCAGAGAATAACATGGGAAATCTTTCTTGTGAAAGAAACCAGTAGAATTCTGGAATTACAACATCTGTATACTTCTGCTTCAAAATGGTATCACACTGGAAGCTCCACTAATTCCATCTGCATTTCCTCTGCAACATTGTCAATTTCCACAGCAAATGGTGTGGAAAAAAGTTGAAAATGTGGTTCAAGTGCCTTGAAATCTTTAAACCGCACATCAAACTGTTTGTGTAAGTTAGAAATGATACAGTATCTGCATATTCTTTCAAGGATTTGGGTTCAACTTTTCCTAAGAAATTCAGAGTCCAGCAATGGACCAAATTGCCAGCAGTCAGCTGTTTCCCCCACAACATAAGCTTGACTTTGAATGACTTAACACTGTCATACATCTGTGTTATCACCTGTTTTCTACCCTGAAGCTCGAAGTTCAGTGCATTCAGGTGATCAGTTACATCGGTTAGAAAAGCAAGGTTGCAGATAAAAGTGAAATCAGCAAGCTGTGGAACCTCCTTGTTTTTCATTTTCATGAAGGAATCAATCTCCTCTCTAAGTGCAAAAAACGCTTCAAAACATTTCCACGACTCAGCCATCTAACTTGAGTGTGATACAGAAGTTCCCCATATTGGCTGTCCATACTTGCTAGAAAAGAAGTGAACTGTCTGTGATTCAGCCCTAGTGCACATATAAAATTAACAGTTTTAATAACTACATCCATAACTTCCTTCATTTGTAGACTTTTACTACACAGGGCTTCTTGGTGCAAAATGCAATGTATACTGGTGAAGCTAATTTCTGGTATATTGAGGCTGTTCAGTCTGGTCTTCAACGTTTTCAGAGCACATTGATGGTGCACCGTCTGTAGCCAAAGATACCAGTTTGTTCCATTGCAGCGCAGCTTTTTCAATGCACTCTTCCAGTCCTTGAAATATGTCACATCCCATTGTGGTACCCTTCAGTGGCATTAAGTCTAGCAATTCTTCAGTTATATTCAAATTGCAGTCCACACCTCTAATGAACACTGCACACTGGGTGGTATCTGATACATCTGTACTCTCATCAGGAGCAATTGAAAATGCTTCCAAGTCTTTTGCCATTTGAATCAATTGTTTTTGCACATTATCTGCTAAATCCGTTATCCTGCAGGCAACTGTATTGGCAGACAAGCTTATGCCTTCAAAAACTTTCTTCCTATCAGGACATAACATTTTGCCAGCCTTCACAATACATTCTTTTACGAATAGGCCTTCTGTAAAAGGTTGCGAAGATTTAGCTATCATTTCACTTATCACAAAACTTGCTCTTACTGAATCTTCGCTAGACTTGTTAATCTCCAAAAAGAAATTTCTTTGCTTGGCAAATGCTGCTTTAAGTTGCTGAACTTTTTCCTCTTGGATTTTTCCAGTGAATGCATCATATTTTTCACGGTGCATCATATCGTAGTGCCAATGCATGTTATACTCCTTGGGAACAGCAATCGTTTGCTGACAAATAAGGCATTGAATTGTATCTTCTACCTCTCAGAAAAAATATAAATTCTCCCATTTGTCTTAGAAAACTCTCTTTTCTTCCATGAGTGTTCTTTTTTTCAATGCCGAAGTCATTTCTGAGGGGTTTTAATAAAATATAAACACTCAGTAATGCACCTCACTCAAAGGACAAAACGCAATTACTTTTAGAATTACTTTGGTTAAAGCCCCCCCTTGCCCCCGGCCCCGCCCCCACTCCACCCCTTCCATGAGGCCCCACCCCTGGCCCACCTCTTCCCACCCCTTTCCCGCCCCCATTCCAACCCCTTCCCCAAAGTCCCAGCCCCAATTCCGCCCCTCCCTGCTCCATTCCAACCCCTTCCCCAAATACACTCCCTGGCCCCGACTCTTCTCCACCTCCTCCCCTGAATGCGCCGCGTCCCCTCTCCTGCCCCCTCCCTCCTGGAAAGTCCTAAGCACTGCCAAACAGCTGTTTGGTGGTGGGAAGCACTGGGAGGGAGGCGGAGGAGTGGGTATGCGGTGCTCTCGGGGCGGGGAGGGGAGCTTGTCGGGTCACAGGAAATAACTCTGGGGGACGCGTGTTTGAGACCCCTGGTGTAAAGTATGCATTATCTATGTGGGAGTGGAAACGGTGCGCCTTTTCCTCTCTGTGCCTCATTTTCCCCTCTGTAATATGGGGATCAGAACCCTTTCTCTGTTCACTTTACGTACTGAGAGTGTAAGACATTCTGTCTGGCTCTGGGCAGCACCCAGAACAATGGGCACTTTGATCACGGTAGTAGTAATGAGGCGTTAGGGGTAGCATGGGCTGGCAGGGGGAGGCATTTGGGCCCTGGAAGTGCCATGGAGGAGGCAGATACCCACCCTGCGCTGTCTCCATCCATCTCCCCCCTCTCTCCACTCCAGGTTGATCCAATGACAGATGCAGCCATGGTCTCCAGGGGACCCCGCCTCATGTTCCTGCTGCCCCTTATCCTGCTGGCCGTTGGCCTGGCCCAGCTCAGCGAAGGAGCCAGCTACCAGCAATTTGCAAGACAACATGTCAACAACCCCAAGACCAGTGCCCGCAATGACCGGATCTACTGTGATCTCATGATGCAGCGCCGGGGCCTGACCTGCTCTGCCTGCAAACCCACCAACACCTTCATTGATACCCCGATAAACCAGCTCCAAGACATCTGTAAATATGCAGGGACACCCGTTGGTGGTAATCTCTACAACAGCCACAGATCTTTCGACATCACCGTGTGCCGGGTTTTGCCCGGCTCCTACCCAGGGAACTGTAAATACAGGGCTGCAATTGGCAACACGAGGATCTACGTGGGCTGTGAAGATCGGCTGCCCGTGCACTTAGAGCCAACATACCTGCTCTGCCCTGGGAGCATGGGACCCCCCTGTTCCCCACCCCACTTTGCTCATGGGCAGTCCTCTGTCACTGGGGGCTATCCTGCCCTGTCTCTTCCCCCCCCCACGGAAAACGCCCGCCATGAATCCCCACAGGGATATTCAGCATCTCCTTATCCCACAGGCCGGCAGCTTGGGGCCTGCAGGGGGATTTCCCATTCTGGGGGCCAGTTCCCATCCAGATGAGTGAAAATCTGGGCCCCCAGCCGCCCCCAGCTGGCACTGAGACCCTGAGCCTGGGCCATCAGGATACAAACACAAATGGCTGCCCCTAGTACTCATTATACAGTATAGCTGCTCCTTCCCCACCCCCGCCCCCTGCTGCCCCTACTGCCCATTATACAGTATAGCTGCCCCTTCCCCACCCCTAGCTTTCTGCTGCCCCTTGTTTTTATTATACAGTATAGCCGTCCCTTCCCTGCCCCCACCCTCTGCTGCCCCTAGTGCCCACTATACAATATAGTGAAATCTTCCTCTATTGCTTTGGGTGATGTAGGGAAATGGTACTGTGGTAACTGTTGCTGTGGTAACTGTTGATGAGTTGGATTCTCTTCCTATTTCCTGCAATAAAATATGTTACTGCAAATGCAGAAGGGCCGAGTGTATGGTTGTGGGGCTGTGCTGTAGAGAAATTAGACGTCACTCTCTGTGTCTCACTCCAAGCCCTAACAGTGCTGAAAACAGAATGAGTAGTTATCAATAGTTCTCTGTCAAACCTGGAGATATAAGTCCATCCGTACTGGGGTCACGCAGGGGTCAGTCCTGGGTCTGGTACTAGTCAATATTTTCATTAATGACTTGGCTAATGGAGTGCAGAGTGTAGGAGGGGTTGCAGGCACTTTGGAGGACAGGGTGAGAATTCAAAATAAACTTGCCAAATTGAGGAATTGGTCTGATACCAACCAACAAAATGTAATTCAACGAAGACAAGTGCAAAGTGCTTCACTTAGGAAGGAAAAATCAAAGGCACAGTTGCAAAATGGGGGATAACTGGCTAGGTTATTATAGTGGATCACAAACTGAATGAGTCAACAGCAAGACATAGCCGTGAAAACGACTAATATCATTCTGGGGTATATTAACAGGAGTGTGGTATGTAAGATAGGAGGGAATTGTCCTGCTCTACTCAGCACTGGTAAGGCCCCAGCTGGAGTCCTGGGTCCAGTTCTGGGTGCTGCACTTTAGCAAAAATGTGGATAAATTGGAGAGAGTCCAGAAGAGAGCAACTGAAATGATCAAAGGTTTAGAAAACCTGCCCTGTCAGGAAAGTACTAAACAGGCCCAGTTCCTTTCACTGGCTGGTTTAGTCGGGAGAAAAGCCTGAGGGTGGCATGATAACCATCTTCACATATGTTAAGGGCTGTTCTAAAGAGGACAGGGATCAACAGTTCTCCATGTTCATTGAAGGCAGGACAAGAAGCAATGGGCTTAATCTGCAGCAAGGCAGCTTTAGGCTAGGTATTGGGGAAAACTTTCTATCTCTCAGGGTAGTTAAGCTCTGGAACAGACTCCCAAGGGAGGTTATGGAAACACCATCACTGGAGCTTGTTAAAAACAAGTTTCACAACCACCTCTCAGGGATGGTCTAGGTTTGCTTGGTCCTGCCACAGCGCAGGGGGTGCACTAGATACGTCGTGAGGTCCCTTCCATGCCCACATTTCTAGGATTCTATGACTAGGTGTTGGAAAATGAATGACAGGTCCTTGCGCCTTTATGGGACACTGGTTCCGATCTGGCCCTGGTGTGGTGCACTGGCTGGTTCAGAGGGATGGGGAATGGGACACGGGGCCTTTTCCCTCTAAGAGAGTCCACTCTGATCCAGCCCCAGGGCAGGGCACTGGCTGGCGCAGGGAGGTGGGGAATGGGACACGGATCTTTTCCTCTCTACAGGGTGCTGGTTCCCATCTGGCCCCAGGGCAGGGCACTGGCTGGCTCATGGGGTGGGGAATAAGTTAAAGGACTTTTCCTGTCTAGGTGTCACCAGTGACAATATGGCCACAAGTTGAGTAGCTCAGGCATTGTCTACACGACACAGTTCTGTCGACTAACGTCAGCTTTTGTCGACTAACGTCAGCTTTTGTCGACCAAAAAGTGCAGGTGCACGCACTGCGATGTTCCTCCCACCGATTTAACTCCCCTGCTGCACCGATAAAATAACCTCACCACCTCGACGAGAGGCCTGGAGCTTTTTGCCACAAAGTTAGATTGACGCAGTGTCAGTGTAGACACTGTGCTTGGTTATGTCACCGTCAATGGCCTCCAGGAGGTGTCCCACAATGCCTATCCTGACCACTTTGGTCAGCAGTTCAAACTCCGCTGCCCTGCAGCCTGGTACATGGGCATCTGCCCCCTTCAAAGGCCCGGGAATTTTTGAAATTCCACTTCCTGTTTGCTCGTCATGGACAGCTCACATCGCATCTTCCCTTGCAGCTCTCCCTCTTGGAGCACACCGGAGCTGTTGGCTCTGCTGGGTCAGTGAGGAGAGGAGGCTGTGCCATCCCAGCTGCACTCAAGCCGTGGGAACTTCGATGCCGATGAGCAGATCTCTCATGGCTTGTGTGATAAGGGCCAGGAATGGGACACTGAGGCTGAGCGGAGTCGCCGGCTGGGACCCCGGCTGGCAGCTGAGTGAATGGAAGCCCAGGCCGGCAGCAGGCTCAGTGGTGGCCGGGACCCGCAGCCTGCCATTAAAAAAAAAATCAGCTCGCGTACCACCTTTGGCACGCGTGCCGTAGGTTGAGGACCCCATTCTAGTGTAGACAGTGTATACTATGTACACTGTGTGTACTGTAGTTTATGGTAATTTTCACTATATGCGATTTTCCTCTTACGCGTTGACCTTAGAACCTAATCCCCGTGTAAGATGTGACTCCACTGTATTCATTTTTGAAAATTTATAATAAGCGATGCTCCGGGGGGGGAGGAGGGAGCGCAAGGTGGAAGTTTCGTCTAGGGTGCAAAATATCCTTGCACTGGCCCTGGATACTGTGTCAGCTGATCCCCACAGTCTCCAACCTACCTGGGCAGTAGAGCAGACATGGCCCTGCCCACTAGCTCCTCTCCACTCCCTAGCCCACCCACCACTTGCCCCCCCCTTAAGGCTTAGCCCTCTTACTTTTAAAAATGATTGTTTGCCCCACCTCCCCCCCTCAGGCTTTTCTGGCAGCCCTGTTGCCAGGTATCCAGTTTTAGACTGGAAACTCCAGTAGAAAACGGGACCCGAGTGTCCAGTTAGCAGTGCTGACTGGAAACTAAATGTCTGGTTATAGGAGTAACCACATTAACCTCCGCTCCTCCCACTCGCAACACCCACCCCAGAGGGCTGGAAGAGAACCTGTCGTGCTGCTGTGGGAGGAGGGGCAGCTCAGTGCAGAGAGAGACAAAGAGAATGGGCTAGAACCAGGTAGGTACCCGCTCCATGTGGGCGGGGGGGGGAATCCTGTTTACCCCCTCCCCAGCCCTGCTGTGCTTGCAGTTTACCCCGACCCTTCCCTTGCTCCAGACACCAACCCTAGCTCCTGCCCCACTGTGCTTTTACCCCTGGCCCCTTTTACAATTATTCCCCAGGGGGGCCCACAAATATGTTTGGCGCCCGGCCCACAAAAAGTTAATGCGGCCCTGGTTGGTCTAAGCATGTGACTCTTGCAGCCAGTGTGTGAGGGCGTAGGTTTAAATCCCTGATGGATGCAGGTTTTTTGCAAAGAGGAACAATATTGCAAATTGTCTCCAGCCTCTTCCTAAATGCAGAGAGAGAAGGAGCAGAGGGTTGTGGTCAAAGGAGCCCAGGGTCAGAGTGATTTAGAAAGTCCTGGGAGGGATGCTTTTTGGAGGTCTCAATGGGGTGGCAGAGCTGGAGTGAATTAGAGAAACGTAAAGGGGGTTCAGAACTGGAGTATCCAAGGGAAACAGAAGATGGGGTTGCATTAGAAAGTCCTGCTTCACAGGGTGACACCTTCCTCTCAAACTCTATGTTCACCCCTTGTCCTCTTCACACGAGGTTCTGTGAGTGGCTAATAGGTTTGGACATTGGCAGTGGTGGGCTTGGATGCTGTGACCCTAAAGAAACTGGAGCCTACAGCAACCACCTTAAAAGGCTCAGGTGTAAAGCTAGGAATCCCAACTCCTGTTTCTTCCTGACCATCCTCAGTTAGTGACTAGCTCATGATCTGAAGGATGAAGGTTTATATTTGTTGTGTGGGTTCTGATTTTGGGAGGGGAATGGGGTCTACTGGGTTAAAGCAAGGGAGGATGAGAATCAGAACTCCTGGTTTTGAACCCTGATCCTTGGAGAGGAGTGGGATCTGATTGGTTAGAAGAGAGTGGATGAAGATTCAGAACTCCTGGGTCCATTTCCCAATGCTTGGAGGGCAGTGGGATGTAATGGGTCAAAGCAGGCCCAGCGGTAGCAGTCAGGACTCGTGGGTTCTATTCCCGACACTAGGAAAAATGTTGAGCTTGGGCTTGCAAGCACAGAGACCCTCATGGGAAAACCACAAAACATTTCCAGCACATTCATTACGTCTTCAGTGGCTTATGTTCTTGCTATCCCCAATATCACACAACAAGCCAGTGATTGCTATGCCAGTATCAGGTTTTATTAAGTGTAGGGAGTTCAGAGAGTTGCAGACTGAGGAGAAATGTTCAAAAACGATGAAAAGAACAATGAGAAATAACAGGTAATTGTGAGGAATATGAGGATTATCCATTATCAGATTGAATACACAATACCAGTGGGGTGAACTGATGGATAATCCTTAATTAAAGTATGGGGAGTTAGTTGGCCACTATGTGGCAGCAGGGAGTGCAAGATAGGTAATTGCTGGCTTTAATATATAATGCAAAATATGGGCACCAGAGGGTGGGGGTGGGGAAGGAGCGGCTATACTGTATTATGCACTAGGGGCAGGAGAGAGCGAGGGTGCAAACACCTGAACAAAGTGATGAGTGTTCAGAGGTGGGTGAGGAGCTGGATGCCACGGCTGGTGTGGAAGCATCCCCTGCTTGCTCTCTACACCCAGACTGCACCCAGTGCCTCCTCCACATAGAGCACAGGGAGCCTCTTCCAGCAGCCAATGACAATTTGCTTTGAAATCCCTGTCCCAGTGTAAGAGAACATCGGCAATTTCAGGTGAGGCTTAAATAAACATTGGGTGATGGTGACGAAATTTTTGCTCTTGCGTAGGCCG